CCCAGCACACTGAGGACGGTGCCATTCCTGGATGGCATAAGACGGTGGGATGAACAAGCCATAGGGAGCAAGCTGGTAATGAGCGTTTCTCCATGGCCTTGGCTTCAGTGCCCACTTCCTGGTCACTGCCCTGCTTGAGTTCCTGCCTTGGCCTCCCTCAGTGGTAGACTCCCACATGTACATCAAATGAAGCCTTCCCTTCCCAAGTTGCTTTTGCAATAGAAAATCGACTAAGACACATTGTAACTAATGTATCTGTAGTGTAGATGCTGCTCTATGTAGTTTGTATATAATGAAGGCATTCCATCATTGCAACATCCTCTGAGACAGGGCATTGCTATTATCCTGTTGTAGGGAGGTAATCAAGACTCAGGGAGGTTAAGGATGTTGTTCAATATCATACAGTCATCAAGAGGAGTACTGAACTCCTAGCTAGGCTGGCTTTACAATCTGTGTCCTTAATTACTGAACTATTGCCTCCAACAAATAACTAGTAAAGAAATGATGACAGACACCGGAAGCTGTAAGAGGCAAAGGACACATTTGCCTTTAATTTTTCACTGGTGAGAACGGGCCTTCTGGAGTTCAGAGTCCTGGGCTTGAGAACTTTCGGGGAGTAAAACCTGTGACTTTAAGGCATCCAGTTTGTGGTATTTTCTATTTCAGCATCAAGAAGATAATGCAAATCTATCTGAGCAGTACTTTTCAGTTTTCAAACTGACTTCATTAACTCCCGAAAATAGAGCTAGATCATCGAGGAAATGACTGAGGGATCAAATCACCAACAGCTCTGGGTTCTATCTCTTTATCTATAAAATAAGGCAAATGGCTGCCCTTTGTCAGTCGTCCAGGTATTGCAAGGTTTGAACAGAGACCCACCTCCCACATGAATGATGAATGACTGAATTTTGCATACCACACTTTGCTTATTCCTCCTCCTCCTTCCCCCCCCTCCTCCTCTTACTTCTTCTACAGGGACTCTCTACATAGTTCTACTTGTCCTGGAACTAGTCTACTATGTAGACTAGGTTGTCCTGGCACTCACAGAGATCCACCTGGAGTGTTGGGATTAAATTCATGTGCCATTACTCCTAGCCTCCACTTTCTACACTGACTGTACTTTCTTTTCTGAAAACTTGCCTTTGACCTTGAGCTATTTTTCTTACTTATCTTTGAGGAGAGCTAAGACACTGCCTAGCCCTAGAGTGCTTGGGTGCTACAGACACACATAGCTATCTCCTTCGGGGTCTGTAAGTATTGAGGGTAAAATGTGGACTTCAGAGAGCAAGCATGGTTGGGAGGGAAGTTACTTACCCTGAGCTCTGCCATGATCTCAGTTATGTCCTGAGCCTGGGGTTCCAAGGTTGACTCCTTCAAGAAGCATCTGGTCTAGGAGCAGAAAGGCAAACATGTCTGCTTCCTATTAGCCCCTGGTGTAGGCATGATCAGGAACCAGGGAGCACCCTTGAGGAGTGCAAGCAGAAGTTTGTTTTCCTGCTGAAGCCCTTTCAGTCCTGTGCCTAGGGCAATGAAAACTCTCAAAGGTGGTAATTAGTGCCAGTCAGAGTGAGGCTTTGTGAAGCTGACCCCTATCCATTAGGAAATGGACTGAGGCCAGTGGACCAGCCACTTAACCAGGGCACAAAAAGCTAAAAATTCAATGCCTGGCCAACTCCTGCACAATTAGTGTGCTTCTCCAACCATGCTCCAATGCACAGTGGAAGCCCTTTGAGGATGGGAAAGGGCAGCCCAAGGTTGAATGCCACCTTATGCCTTGAAGCAGAGATGTCTAAACGTGACATCCTGGAGGAGGAACAGGGGCAGAAAGGACAAAGAAGGGGAGGATAGCTCAGTGTGCTTTCGTAGGGGAGCAGAATAAACCCAGAAGGAAGAGAGTAGCGTGTATACAAGCAAAGGGACCCACTCATCTAAATTCTGGATGAAACATTTCCCTGACTTAGTGAGTCATGGCACTTGTATTTCTACACATTTCTTCTCTACTCCATTTTGCTTCCAAGATACCCAAGATTCTGCAAATATTTTGTATTATCAAGAAATAGAACCTTCACTCAGAGTCTTACAACAGCTTTATAATTGTTCTCTTTCTCTCTATGCTCCATCCAAATCCCTCCTTACATTTAAACACTGGGTTTTTTTTTCTCCTTAATTTTTAACAGATAAGCTCTGAATATGTGGAGTTCCATGACTAAACTCTTCAATGGCTGTTGTTGTCCTTTAGATAAAACACCAGACCCTCAGCTTGACCTATCACTTTGGCTCCTGTTGACCTCCCCAAAGGCAGTAACATTCCCTAAAGTCTTTTCAGTCTCCATCTTTCTTTTCCAGCTTGAGGCCTTCAAGCAAACCATTTGTCTATGCATACATAAGAATATAAGCATTCACATGTATATGGACACATCAATTACGTTTCTGTTGCTTTGATAGAAGGGAGAGTTTATTTTGGCTTCTGGTTCCAGAGGCATAGAAACCTGTAATGGCAAAGCAGAAGCATGGCTGCCAGAACAAGACGGTGAAAACTCACAACTGAACTGCAAGTAAGAAAAGAGAAAGACTCTGAATCGCAGTGCCTTAAGCTCTCACAGCCAGCACCCAGTGGCATATTCCCCAGTAAGGCTCATCCTCCTAATTTCCCCAGAGTATGATCAGTCGAGGACCAAGTATTCAGAAGCCCAATACTACAGGGACATTTCTCATTCAAGTCACCACAATGGGCATGCATGTTCCTCTCATTGCTTTTATAACCCATATGACACTCTTTTCCCCCTCAATACCTCTTACCACAAGGCATATACACTCAGCCACCCCTTAGTACCTGTCAGGTGTTGGTTTCAGGATGTCTTGTGGATACAAAAATCCTCAGATTCTCAAGCCTGTGTATAAATGGTGTAGTATTTATATATAGCCAACCACATCTTCTCCCATACTTTAAATCATCTCTAGATGTATGTTTACATTTATGATATGTTTATAATACTTATACCATGTAAATGCTATGTAAATATGTTTTATACTGTTTGGAGAACAATGGCAAGAAGAAATGCTGTGGGTGTTCTGTCTAACCTCAGATCTTCCCTGACTATTTTTAATCCATGGTTTCTTGAGCTCACATGTGTAGAAACCACGGTATGAGGGTGTATGGATATTTATATGAATCAATTAGAGGTTCTCTTTGCATTTTTCCCATCCCACTGATTCGTTAGCTCTGTGCAGGATGGTGACTAGTGTTTTGTTTCCTACAATTAATCCAGCACTCTGACCCTAGGTGCTCCCTGATTCTAAGCAGGGGTGGGATAAGGCTTGGTAATGGCTTTTCAACGTTAAAGCTCCTCAAGCGACTCTAATGCACAGATAGGAATGCTATCAGGGTGTTGAGAGAAGGACTCACCTCCATCAGAGATTAGCTTTCTTCATTGCTATTTGGACCTTTCATCCAATTGGAAATGTTTTATTACTGTTTAGAGGTAGGGTCTTTTCAGACTCTTGCGTTCCCACGAGATGAGTAACTCAGATCTGCTGGCCCAGGGCATTCTCTATCCTAACACCCAGTCCTGGGCTTGAGGGTCACTGGCATTGTTTGTTCCCTCAGAGTCCAGGCTAGGTAAAGGAAGCAGTCCAGAGTGGTTGAAGGTCCAGCTTCTGAAGCCTGACTCTGCTGGGTTTGAATTCTGATTTGAGAACCAAACTTAAGCAACTATTAGGAACTCTGCTTGTAATAGGAGGAAACTTACATTTGATACTCCAAGTAGTGGCTGTAAAGCCAAAGAGAGCCAGTGTGCTGTGTGAAGAATTCAGCACCAAGCCTGACTCACAACAAGAGACCAGCTGCCGAGAGCTTTAAAACTGGTGCTTCAGTCTTCGGAACCCTGTGCCTCAGTTGGGAATCCTCCTTTATTCTCTTCCTTTCTCCCATCTTCTCCTCTTTCCCTTTTGAATTGAACATTTTTCTTTTCCTCATGAGCTATACATATAAAATAGCGATGTGTCTCAGAAAGCCCAGCTATTAAGCACTAACATACCCTTCAAAACCAAAAGCCATTATTACAATTACAATGTCAATTCTGTAGGCCACCCCATCATCTCTAGGTCATGTAATCGCACTCTGCAAGGTGAAAGCACCTTGTGGAGCTCAGTCGCTAAGCAACTGAATGCAGGGATTCTGCATCCCTTAGTCATTCAGGCTTATGACTGTCTGACTGCCTGTCTCTTGAACTCCAGCCACTGCTCAGACTAGGGGATTTGGGAGAGGAAGACAGCTGCCGGTTCAGAAGTGGGAAAGCAGTGGGCATTGAGGAGGCAGTCACTGTTGTATGGTGACATGCCAGGGAGAGGCTTAAACAGGACTGATGGACAGTCAATGAAACATACTAGCCTGACTTTAATATTTTTATTTGTGGTGTGCACATGCATGCATGCGCACGTTTGTGTGTGCGTGTGCATGTGCGTGCTCGTGTGTGTTCTCTCTCTCTCTGTGTGTGTGTGTGTGTGTGTGTGTGTGTGTGTAAGCCACAGTGGACATGGGAGGTCAGAGAACAACTTTTGTGGCTCTGGTTCTCTCTTTTCATTTTTATGTGGGTTTGGGGGCTTGGATTCAGGTTCTGAGATCTACAAGGAAAGTGCCCTTGTGACAGAGTCACCTTGCAGCTCCATAAAAGCTAACAGTTCTACTAAGCTGAAAGGCAAAATAACTGCTGCTATACACTGAGCAGGGGAGAGCATTAAAGTAATGTTGGGAGAATGAAGCACACGAGAAGATGCTGGATTCTGTTTATGCATAAATCTAGAAAACGTATCCTCAGTGACGGAATATAGATCAGTAGCTGCCCCTGTCACCTCACCACTGCCCATCGAGGACTCACACCAGCAGCAGCTCAGTGTTACCCCTAAATTGCCCTTCTTACTTTGCTCCTCTTCTCACATTGACTCATGGCCAGGACCTGAATATCCTGTTCCTCCTGATTTCCTCCATCATTGCCCTTTCTCTGCCTCACAGCCCCCTTCTTAGGGCAGTTCTTCACACACATCACTCTTGGGAGGATGAGGCAAGAGGATCATGAATTTGAGACACCCAGAGCTACGTAAGTGGACCCCGTTGTGATTTTTCTCATATATTGAAATAGTTTCCTTCACTTGTTTCTTTCATAAAAGAAAACATAGTGAAACCCTTTTTTTTTTATCTTCTCCACAACATCTGTACTAGCAATATTCTCCAATTTGTAACAGCTATGTCTTTATACATTCAGCTCATGTTGCATCATAATTTAAATGTCATTCTGCAACTTTCTCTATTAAAAAATATTGTAGCTACAAATACAAAATTGACTCCATAGTAATACATGACATCCTATGGATGAACCACTTATATCGGTTGCTAGCCATGATTAATCAATATCATTGTATGGTGGCTCCAGAGATATGTCTATGCCAGAATCCTTAGCATCTGTGAACTTTTTCATATATGGCAAAATACATGATTTGAATTAAATAAATGTCTTGAGAGGAGGAACTTGTCTTGCATTCTAAATGTAATTAGACATATCCTTATATGAGACAGGCAGGGGAAAATTCAGAACATACTTTCAAAAGGGAAGGTCATATGAAGAAGTAAGAGAGAGAAGGAGGGTGTGTGGGGGGGGAGGTACAGGAGGATCCAGTCATCAAGAAGCTGAAAGAGGTAAGGGGTAGTTTTCATCCTGTATATTTACTAGTAGGGCCCTCACTCTAGCTGGTGTCCCCAGGTAGCTGCCCTCCATAAGTGGCTGACAGGGTCTAATTATATAAATACCCCAGCTCTTTTACCATCTAGGGGGATGACTGGTGTATGTTTTATATTGCTTCCCAGAACTTCCCTGACGGGTTAAACTGCAGTCACCCCTTGTGGGAGCCATCTTGACAATATTCCCTTGATGGGCTTCCCTCTTGCCTGAGTTCCCATTTCCCTCCTGGTATCGTCTCTATTACCCCAATATACCTATGCTTGATTTTTTTGTCTCAGGATCTGCCTGAGATTTGCTGCAGCCCATTACAACTTTCATTCTTGGTCCCCTTCAATTTGGTAAAAAGTATTTTGCAAGGCTAGTACGCAGATGGGATTTGGGGAAGTGGTTAACTTGGAGACAGTCGATTTCACCTTAACTGATAGTATTTGCAGGGTTCCTGTTACCTAATCAGGTCACATTTGGAATTTTATGGGCATGATTTTTAGTAGATTGTTTTGGGGATAATTTGACTTTTATATGATTTTCCAGAGAGTTGACATCTGCAATCAACTTGACTGGACTCAGAATCATCATGGAAGCATTATCACTGGTGTGTTTGTTAGGGTGTTTCCAGCAAGGTTTAACAAAGGAAGGAAGACCCACTCTGAATGTGAGTGGCACTATTCCATGGTCTGGGGTCCTGGACTGATTAAAAAAGAGAAGGAAAATTAAGGCTTTCCCCGGTCTCTGTTTTCTAAGGGTAGATACACTGTGACCAGCTGTTTCCAGCAGCCTTGTCACCTCAGTTCTGATGGATTGTACCTCCTCAAACTGTGAGCCAAAGCAAATCTTGCCTTGAGTAGGTTGTTTTTGCCAGATATTTTGTTACAGTATTGAGAGCACTACCTATGTAATACCCAAAGGGCACAAGCAACTGCTGGATGCTCATGCCAGGGGAATTTGAAAGAGATTAGTGGGCAATCAAAGATAGCTGTCATAGGCAAGAGTTGTGCTCTCCTGAAGAGTGAGATGAGGCTGTGTGAGTGTCTCACAGACCAGCCAGTGGGTGCTAGCTGGTGTTCAGTTCGACATGGTTGTCTATATGACATAAGCACTCTACTGGCAGGAAACTAAAACTGAATGCTGGAATCCTTATGGTGTCAGAAAGAAATGTGAGCAACAGGAGGGTGATATGTCTGTCTGAATTAAAACACAGAGAGAGGGACCCTAAGTGGTATGTTGCCAATACCTCCTGCCCCAGGTACAAATGCCACAGGAGACTCCATTTTCACTCTCCCTGATGAACCCCTCTGTGTAGGTGCTACCTAGACCCTTGAGGGCAACCACTTCTTCTACATCCCTTATCTCCCCTTTCAATCCTGACTGAACATAAACAGAAACTAGCAAATGGGGAGGGGCAGGAAGCAGAGAGAGCAGAAAGTCAAAAGTCAATAATCACACTGTCATCTCCAGACACATGCTGCTGCACCATGGAGGATATGGGGAAGAATCAGCTTTCCCATGAAGTTAAAAGCTCTCAGAAGATCCTGGATGAACCATTCTAAAGAGATCACCATTGGAACTTCTGTGTGGTTTTGGTTTTGATTGTCTTTGTTTGCAATGAGCCAAGATGAAGACATTCTGAATTTTTTTTTAACTTCTGTCTTTCACAAGCTGGAGAACATTGCCCCACTCAATGAATGAACTTGGAAGAGCCATGAGTAGGAAAGAATAAAGTTGCCATTGCTCATCTCATGGAAGTCCTGTAAACAGCCCATGCTAACATGTTTTCTTGCCATCCACTTTTTAAACTATCTTCATTCAGTCATAAAGTTTCTTCAACTTTTCTAACCAACCCATTTGGTACCTCCAAGCTCTTATACATGCTAATCTCCTTGCCTGTAATGCCCTCCTCCCTCCTTCCCCCTCTCTCTTCCCTATTTGGCTAATTTTTATTTAGCTTTTGGAAGTGTCTGTCAAATATCACCTTCTCTTTGAACTAACCAGTCCTTCCATGCCTTCCCGGCCAGCCTCGGTTAGAGCTCTACTCCTAAACAATAAATACGTCATATCATTTCTGTAGTTGATTTCATGTGTACATCCTGCTATTCTGTGGTGTCATGGAGAGCAGGGAACATGTCTCATGGTATCTGTGTTGTGTAACATAACACCATCCATGGGTGGTGGGAATAGAAACTGGATTAGAAACAGACTTTTCAGAATTTCCCTAAGAAAACCCCATGAGAGGAAAAAAGCCCCAGGAAGCTGATGAGATGCCCATATGTAGGACATGTAAGATATACAGTGTTGGGTTAGCAGAAGGAAGTCGAGGGTGAAGCTCTGTAGGACCACATAAGTAAAGCATACCTAGAGACCACATCTCTGAATTGTCCAGGGTTATTCCTCCCACAAAGAGACATACAGATTATCAGTTACTGCCAAGATACTTTGGAAGTTGGGTTGGAGGCAGAAAGGCAGATTTTTGTAAACTTGACTGCAAAAATTGTGTTTCCTCTGGGTTCCTGGACAGATGCTCAAGTCATTCTATTTATTTACTTTCCTAATTAATGTGTGTGTGTGTGTGTGTGTGTGTGTGTGTGTGTGTGTGTGTGTTCATATGTGCATGTGGATATACACTACGTGTGTGTTGGGTGCCCAAGGGGGTCAGAAGAGGCCATTGGATCCCCATGAGCTGGAATCACATGACCTTGTGAGTTGTCTAACATGGGTGGTTGGAACCAAACTGTGTCTTCTGGAAGTGAAGCAAGTGCTCTTAATGCCTGAGCCATCTCTGCAGTCCCTCAAGTCACTGTAACAAAAGAAAATTTAATTAAATGTGTCGCAGGCCTTTGCTTGGCATAGCACTGACATAGTGAGGAAAAAATGCTGAGTCCCAGAGGAGCAGCAAACAGCTTTGACCGAAATTTGACACAGGGAAATCCATTAATGTAAAAAATGCAAAGACAGGCATGGAAAGATGACAATCTGCATGCACGTGCACACACACACACACACACACACACACACACACACACACGGGGTGGGGAAGAGAGAGGGAGGGAGGGAAAGAGAGAGATGGTATTTGTCAGCATCCCTCACTACCTCTCCCCACTAAGCACTGAATTCTTGGCTGTCTTCCCCATAAATGATCATGTTCATGAGTTTATAACAAAATGTAGCCAAAATAAAACATGATGAAAGAGAAATGGATGTGTTTCTTTATAGTAGCTGTACATAAGATTGTTTATATTGCACAGCAGGCCATTTTTCATCTTGAAAGGGGCTAAATTTATCCACATAAAACATGATCCTATTCACTGTTTCCTGTGGAGTCACAACTATTGGAAATGCTTTTAGTTCATTCAGATTTAACCTCTAGCCTCTGTGTGTTGATGCTGGGTATTCATAGTCAGCCTATTGTTGGTCCCACGTAAAGGTGAGCTACTTCCAACTAGCATGATAATGGCACATGAAAGACCCACTGTATCACACATTGTAAGAAAACTCTTGGAGTCTTCACTTGAGGCCTTGACATGAAGGAGAGAATAGTGTGTTTGGGGTCTGAAAATCAAAAGAAAACCTTAGTAAAAGACTTCTGCCCCTCCCTATAGTTATGGAATAGAACTACCTCTGAGACTGGCTTTCTGCTCTCTTCTGGGCTTTTCTTCCTCAGGTTGAGGCTCAGTGAGAAGACTTTGCTTGCTTCTACCCTGATAACACCCCCTTCCTCTAACCTTCCCATCCTTCACTTAGTAGCCAAGTGAAGACATTTCTCATATTTGGTATTTTCTTCTTACTCTGTGTTAAGGTCTTTGGTAGATGTCAGATGATCCAGGGTAGTTGGCTTTACAACAAACATCTTAGTCATCATGACCCACTTCACCTTCATAGTAGTAATTATAATGGGAAACAGGTTTTTAACATCTTTTATTGGCCATCTATGGAGTTCCCCATAGTTTCTAAGGAATTGTACTAATGTTTCATTTATCATACACTACCATTTTCATCTTGCATACAAGAAGACTGGACCTTAAGAAGCTAAAATGGCATACTCAAGCTTTCACAAGATACAAGTGGCAGAATGTCTCCAAGTTCTTCACCACTGCCTTATAGCCAGAATCAAGACTAAAGGCTCTTAACCATTTATGGTGTTTTGTTTGTTCATGCTATGAAGCTCAGGCTTGCTTGGAAATTATGATCCTCTACCTCTTGAGTATATAAAACTGATATTTACGTTTTATGTTTTGCCTGGGAAAATTTGGGGGCAACATTTTAATCCCTGAGCTAATTAGATAACCACCAAGAATCCTATACATGTCCTACAAACCACTCTTATGCCAATTTTTTGATTGCTTCAAGTAAACCATCCAAAACAAATTTTATAGTCATTTTCACCCTCCCTGTGGAGTGTGGAGACTGAGAAATCATGATTTTAATTCTGTGGTTTCTGCCCTTGGACTTGCTTTTCCACAAGTCTCTTATGGAAGCACTAAATTGAAGAGATAAAAATCAAATTAATTTTAACCCGAAATCACCCAGATTGATTTTTAAAATGCTATTCTATCTCTATTTTTAGCCTTACCTAGTAGCCAGAATTGTATTCTTGATAATAAGGAATAAATTATAAATTCCCATACCTCTTAAAATAGATTTCACTGCAGCTTCACTCATCTCTTTGAGTCCATTTATAATAACATAAAAGCTATTCAAACTTGGACACTAAAATATCAAACCATTACTGAGTCAAAAATAAGAGGAAGCATTTGTGTATTGGGACGGTCAATATGTGGAGGATGTAGGTGCAAGATGATCTGTAACAGAAGCCAAAAAACGATGGCCTGAGACAAATCCAGCCTATTGCCTGCTTTTGTGAATAAATGTCTATCAAGCACTCCCACACCATTCATTTGCATTTGCTTTCAGTTGTCTGCCCTTAAAACTTCTTACAGTTTAGAAAAAAAAATTCCCAACTTCAGACTTACCTTTTAACATAATCTCAGTCAAAATCCAGTTGGTTGTGAGTGTGTGTGTGTGTGTGTGTGTGTGTGTGTATAGAAACTGAGTAGAGTCTAAATTTGTATGGAAAGACCGAAGACCTGAAATAGTTTATAAGGTTGAAAAAAAGAATACCCACAAAGCAACTCCATGTGGTTTTTGGAGTTAACCTGGACCACTTGGTGCTGCCACCCAGTTAGTATCTCTTCTAAACTTTGAGTCTTCTTCTATTATTTCTATCCTCTGAAGAAGAACCTGCCTGGATGATGCAATTCTTTGATGAATGTACACAGGGAGAGCCATGAGTATCTCTATTCCTTAGCTCCCATGATGCAGTTCAGTTCTCATAAAGGGCTGAGCATGGGAGAAAAGGGGAGCATATTGCTTTGCTCAGTTCCCTGAGGCCTCCAGATTAGCTCTCCAGAGGGTAAAGATTCCAGTGGGATATGGGTCACATTGTCCCTGAATTGACCACCTCTCTCCCAGTGGGATTCTTCTACTTCCACCTCCTCTGCTGTAACCATGCCAATCCACTGCTTCTCCTTCCCTGCTAGGGGTCAGGTGTGGCAAACTCCAAACCCCTTCCTTTTCTTGTTCCACTCACATCTAGCTCCATCCAAGTATGTTCCTCCCACATAAATGCCCCCCTTCCACCTATGCGAAGGATTGTCACTGATTGCTTTGAAAATTCTTATTAGTTCAAAGCTTTGAATATTGAATCATTTCACTACCAAAGAAGGAGAACTACTATTTTTGGTTTCCCTCCAAAGCTCAGAAATCTAAGATATTTTCTGTTTCTGTGTTTTCTTTTGGCTTCAAATGGTCCAAACTGTGTAGTGGCTGCTCCAGAGTTTAGACAGTTTTCAGTTTGCCTTGAAGCCCATTGCACTCCTGAGTGGCCAGATGCTCAGAGATGCCAAATCGACAGTGGGGAAAAAAAGAAGGGTGAACAATGAAAGGACATACAGAATTAGCCAACAGGAGTAAGCAGATGTCAAGTCTGGGCTTTTCAGCCATCCAATGACTCTTGACTGAGGGGACGTATCTGTAGGCTCAGGACAAAGTGGACTGAGACATGTGGCAATTCTTTCCCTCTTTGCCTCCCAGAGAATGAGGCCCAGAGTATGGTCTTAACTGGGGGCGTTGGAGTCCTAGGGAGAAAAACAATAGACCGATTCCAACAGAGCAGCAACACCAGTAAAGGAACAGAGATAGAGCTGTTGGAAGGATGTACAAATCCCAAGCCTGCTAGCCAGCTTGAACCAGCAGGTAAGGATCATAGCAGGCATCTTGGAAGTGTGTATCTGCCCTTCAGGATTGATTAGCCTGCAGCAAGGGTGGACTTGGGGGTTGAAAGTGATGAAACATGTATAAGAAGCTTCCAAACTGATAGCAGAAAATGCTTTTGGAAGGGTTACAGGGCAGCCCTTTGAAGGTTCAATGATTCTCACTCTCCCAGACTCCCCCATGTTCTGAGAGTTTCCCAGCGGCCAATAGCTACAGCAGGTGGCACAGGACCCGCCTACCCTTGGTGATCCGAGGAAAAGCTGCAGCCAGAATATCTGAAAGGGCAAGGTGACTCATTCTTCCTGCCTGGGTCATTTCCATGAGTCATACACTTGAATCTAGTCCTAACTATGGGGAGAGGAACATCAAAAAGACTGTCTGTGATCTTTTTAATCAATATTTGATGAAAACCAGAAATCCCCTTTAACGGGATCTTCACAGAACGTGTTTATCTATCTGGGCTTTTCATTTTGTTGCCATTTCTTCCCCAGTATCCTAATGGAGGAAAGAAAAGGAGGTTCTGAGAAATGCAAAGGAAGGTTAAGATGGCTCAGCCACGGCTGCTTGGGGCAGCCATCTCAAGTTGGGGCGGTGATCTCAGCCTGGAAGCAACAACTCCCCCTGGAGTAATCAAGAGTTCTCACCTAATATCCTCAGCTCTGTTTGTAAGACTGTGCTGTTTAGATCTCCTTGGCTGGAAGAACGGAGAAACTGGTGGGCGATTCAGTCACTTAGATTTTGGAGTCAGGTGAACGGATCTGTGGTTGAATCCTGAACCACAGGTTGAATCCT